TTTCACGAATATGTCAAGAAAAAACGTATTTTTGTGTGTATTTTATATGCGTTAAAAATTTTGCCACCCACTTTGGTCTCTTTGATTCAATTCTGGACGTTGCATGTCATCGCTTCGGCTATAACATCATAATTTAAATATGGAACCAACGGAATGTTTTCATTACTCAAAAGAAAATTTTGCCTCCTAGATATTAAATAATAAAGATATTTCTTTACCCAATTTGCAATCCAACATGGCAGGAAGAAAACCTTATTTTTGGTTTCCAGCAAATAAACTAAGTTGAATAGGAACGAGAGTTCTGTTTCTGTAGAGTAGGGGGGGTGAGTGTAAGCCCACGCACTTAGGCCACATGTGATCCATTGTACATCCTCCCGAGGAGTTGTCCTCCTAGGTCATCGTCCATCCTGTCCTTTCCAGGAAGGTGGACAGGTCACTGAGAGACATCTCCTTAATATCGGCAGGTGTTGGCCAAGACTCGCCGAACACACACTCTCTTATTGACGATAACACCGGGCCCAGGGTCGCTCAAGGTGATCCTGGCAAGATTGCATTCTTTGATTCCATCCCATCTCTTTAGGGATTGATCATGGGTGTAACATTTGGCTAGTTCCGCAATTGTCGAAGTTATCAGACCGTAGGTGCCACTGGGTCCTAAAATTCTTAGTGCAGCCGCTTCTTTGGCTAAAGAGTCGGCTAACGAGAGCTAAACCTTAGTTTTTTCTTCAAAGGGTCATAACTCACGAACTACCGGCACCAAACTACTCGGGGTCATTTTAGATAACAATCTATCGTGGTCAGCTTACATTGAATACCTCAGAAATAAACAAGTTATTTGCATCTTTGCTTCTAGACAACCTTGAGATTTTCTGAACCTTGATACTCTGTTAGAAGCCTACTTCTTTGTTTTTTATTAAAAATTCAAATATGTATTAGTATTATTATGGGGTGATTCATGTCACTCTTCAAAAGGTAGAAAAAGGTTACACAGGTCACACTGGACTTCGAGATATTAGCAGACTGTTGTTAGAAATAAAGTAATACCTTCACCTTGCGCCATTATTTTAATGGTATTATTGAGTTTCTTGAAACTCCTTTCACATATTCATGATTTCTATTTTCCCACTTTTGATATTGTTAATTATTATATGCCTTGCACTGACGAGAGGCCAAATAGCCCGAAACCGGTCTGCAAGTGTGCCCGTTCTATAATTGAAAATCGATTACGGCAGTTGTATCGCCAACAGCATATGCAGGAAATACTTCTGTGAAGATTCCTGCACTGACCTCTGTTGATATAATCCAACGCCCTTCGTGGTATTAGCCAGGGGATTAGTTGTTTTCTGATAGGTGTCAGTCCATTAACCTACAGTGTAGGAAGTTGAGACTGCCCTGAACAAATTGTTCTTTTAGTCAATTTGATTTTATCTATTTTCGAATTACGTCATTTTGCTTTACGTTTTGATATCACCCTATTTTCTGTCCCTTCCTTGAAAACCCGCAAGAGATTTATTACGGAAAATTCACTACTTGGCCGACAGGTAGACGACAAGAATGTGACCAAAAATATTTGCGCGCCGCCAACTTTGATATCGGTTCAATTCCGCTGATACCGTAGCAACCGAGAAATCTGAACAATGTTACGATTAAAATAGTTCTTCTAAAAATAGTTGAAAATGTTTATAGGACTTTTCAGGTCGGCACTGAAGTGACTGGCAATGCGTCATTTTCGGACTAATATTGATTTTGGAATGATGCGGCAACTATTTTTCACATATCGATTGGCAGCGAGCCCGATTATCGAAAAGATTTTTTCATGTGAAAATTATTTTCTGATGCACTGTTCTGAAGTGAATATTTAGAGGGGATGATCGAGTTTTTGTGATCTAATAGAAGGGGGCCAAATACAGCGATAAACGGAAAACTAAAATTATTACATTCCAACTCAACAAGAGTAATTTGTGCTTCACATATTATTTAAAAGTTAAACTCACTAAATATAATACAATGGCAGTGGTAATTCAATATTACAGGAATCGTTTATACTTCATTTTGAGTGCATCAAGGCAAAGAAGAAATAGACAAAACTTGAATATCGCACAAAGTCGCTATATCATAAGAAATTATGTTTTTTAGTGGAAAACAATGTCGTATGATGTTCGAGGATTGATTTTCCTCAAATGACTTCTGGTTAGGTAATTCTCAACTATCACTAGTAATCAGTTGATAAATGTCTGTTTTTCTCGAAAATATTTCGAACTACTTATTTACATAAAAATCCCCAACTTTTTTCACAGATAGTCATCAAAATTAACAAAAACCTATTAGGTAATTTTCGATATTTCTACCCCTTCTTCAGAAATCCCTGAGCTATTGACTTCACAGAAAAAACGTACTTTAAACACCTAGTTCAACAAAGTATTTTCCCATCGTTTCCAATCGTTTACAAAGGGATACGTTTTTCATTATTTCCTGATGACACATGGGCTGAAAAATCCCGGGTCTAAGAAAGAAAAAGCTTTTTTTTCAAAATTGGCTTCATTGAAATGGGGTCGTTTTTCCGCAATTTCGGCTTTCAAACGCTCCAGTAACGCTATATAATGATCACTGTTGATGATATTTTGTTTTCTCAAGATCATCGATGAATTATACACCACCCCCATCCCAAAATATCGAGGCCATAACATTTCCAGCCGATTGTTGTGCTTTTCGGCGCTTTGGACGAGGTTCACCAGTTTCTCTCTACTCATGAAACCGTTTTGATTCTGGAGTGAAGTGATGGATTCGTGTTTCATCTATTGTCACATATCGATGCAAAAATTCCGGTTTTTTATTTTTAAACATTGCCAAACACTGCTCAGAATCATCAAGACGTTCTTGTTTTTGGTCAACAGTGAGCTCGCGCGGCACTCACTTTGAACATAACTTTCTCATAGTCAAATGTTCATGCAATATAAAGCCAACACGTTCTTTTGATATCTTTACGATGTCGGCTAACTCACGCAACTTCACTTTTCAATCATTCAAAACGATTTGGTGGATTTTTTAGTGATTTCTGGTAATACTTCCTCATTTGGACGTCCACTGCGTTCTGCATCATCGGTGTCTCTACGACCACATTTGAAGTCAGCAAACCAACGTTTAATTGTTGTTTCTGATGGAGCGGTGTCCTTATAACACTTTTGAAGCCATTGCTTCGCTTGAATGGTATTTTTTCCCATCAAGAAGCAGTGTAAAATTAAAACACGAAATTGTTTTTGATCCATTGTTTTGGAAATAACAAAAGTAGTGTCACTCTTAGCAAAATAACTCACAAATTCATTAGTAGAATATCATGAAATTTCAACAGCTTTCTTTTGAAGGTTGTATGTATATAGTAAGGAGGGTGAGTGTATACCCACAGCACTTAGCCCACATGTGACCCATTGTACATCCTCCCGAGGAGTTTTTCTCCTAGGTCATCGTCCATCCTGTCCTTTCTAGGAAGGTGGACAGATCTCCTTTATATCGGCAGGTGTAGGCCAAGACTCACCGAACACACACTCTCTTTGGCAACCTTGAGGTATCTCACGTCGGCCTCCGCGAAGGTTTTGGAAGGTGCAGAGACATTACCGTCGTTGCGCGGCTTCTTCAACCTTCCTGGGGTTCCCCTAGTAGAGGTGTTCAAGTGAGGGTGCTTTCCTGCAGGGGTAGCCGGTTCCTAGCCTTTATTCAAGGCGGATATCTTGTCGCCCGCCGCAGGAAGTGCCCTAGCTGTTGGAGGTGGTTTCCTTCAAATGGGTGGTAGTCTTCAGAATAACCCGTTTGATTTCCCAGATATTTTCCCCTTACTCTTTGTTTCTTATTGACTCATTCTCAACTTATTCGTTGCCTGTGATCACGACTGTATAAGTTTCCGATATAGAGTCAATCTAATCCTGTTTGCCGGTTTTATTCTTTCGGCAATCAAATGATTCTCAATACCGGAAATATTTTTTTAATTTTTGAGTAAGTTCAAGTTCAATTGAGTAGTGAAAAATTAATGATTTTCTGGAATTCTCTACTAACCACTTCTGTTGCCTTAATTAGTTTTGTAATATTTTTTTTAACACTAACTGATACAATTTACTGTGAGATTTTCACTATAAAGTAACAAAACCCGCGACACGTGTTTCGCTATACGGTAGTTTCCTAGTCATTCTCGTTTGAGGAAGTTAACGGCATAGTGAAATACGTATCCCTGTTTTTGTAATGGGATATTTTTCACTATTTATTTTGAAATTTACTGATATAATAACACAACTTCCTTCGAACATTCTGATATGTAGCTGATGTAGGCGGAAGGGTTACAGTAAGGCAAATTTAATTTTATTGTATTTAAAATACCAACATCACCCCATTGTGGTTGATACACAGTTTTTAAACAATGTTCCGCAGAAATGTCGCATAATTTTTTTAATTGTTCAACTAGACTTTGTATATCTTATTGAATCTTGATCTTGCAATTTCAAATTGAATAATTTTTAGATATGAGTATAACGACAAACAATTCTACATAGCGGGTAGGGTTTTGAACATCTGTTTTTTAGTGTATGAAAGAAAATACTACCTTCCCTCAGTCATTGATGAAATTAGAATCACTCCAAAGATATTTCACAAAACTTTTTATTAGTAATATAGTTCTGTGGTGGATTTTTGAATTCAAATTAGTATACTCGTATTTACAATTTGTAAAAGCTGTGAGTTTACTGATTCTGATACCGCCAATTTTCGCTGGTTCTTTGTATAACGCTTTGGTTTTATGGAAAATTTAAATTGAAAAAAAAAAACTTTTCGTGAACTAATTTGAAGGGTAATGGGGATTCCCCAAACATATATCCGTGTATATTTTTTATTGGAACTACATATCAAATGTTTAAACAACAGTATTTTTATATTAACCCACATTTTGTTTGATTCATATTTTTGGTTTGTTTTTGTGTTATTAACACGTATTTTTTTCGAAATTTTAATTTCTGCAGTTCCCGGGGTTCTGACTAGTCCATTGCTTACAGGGCAATCGCTGGGCTACGGATTCGTTAATTATCACAGACCAGAAGATGCGGAAAAAGCCATAAATACACTGAACGGACTAAGACTGCAGAATAAAACCATAAAGGTAAGATATTTTCTGTAAAGTGTGAAAAAAAGTTGCATGCTTTGTACAGTGTGATTCATCATTGTGATTCCTTGACACCAGGGCGTTTTGGTTTTAGTTTGTTTAAAGTGAGTATCTAAATAGCATTGTTTCTTCCGAACAAAATTGATGTAGGTGTGCCATTGTCAATAGAAACCAATTAACGATGAAACTAGGAAGAAAATAATTTGATTATGTAGTGCCTAGTACATTAATTCGTTTGTTATTCAGAACGATAATCGATGTTATTCAATTTGAACTTTGTGTTTTTGAACAACCAGACCGGAATTTGTTGTTGAAAATACGAATGCACTTAGGAAAGAGTGAGTTGATGAGGTCTGTCATGAAATGCCCTTCATATGCTAATATATTTGATATATACATATGGAATGTTTTACTTGAAAAGAATTAACTCAAATTAAACTCTGCAAAAAATGTGTAGATCGTGCACAGAATTTTCCTTCACATACAAACTGGAGGAAGAAACTTCTTTGAAACAACTACTTTTACATGAATATAGGCTTACACGATAACTGTTTAGTTTGTTTTCCAAACATTCATTATGGAATTGGAACATATATCATTCATACGTAATATATGATAAAGTATTACACTATCATCCTTAATGGTTTACTTATTGAAGTAATTAATCTCTAAATAAATAAAAATATCGGTGGGATGGAATCTGGTCAAAGAGGTACTACCGATGTAACATAATAGATACTATCAACTTAAAGCAGCAGATACTTTTGCTTATTAGCTTAGATTAGCTAACTCTTACCTTCCTCAAATCGAGTGGTCTGAAATCGGTGTCTTCAACACCTCAGTCTATCGTAAGCGCGTGATGAGTATAGACTATAGAGATTCTGGACACCAGGAGCAGGGCCTGCCGTGAGTGGTCTGAGACCATGAAGAGTTGATTTACCACCTTGGGCACTTGGAATCAATCGGGCTAGGTAGGATAGGTTCAAAGTGAGTAGGTCTATTTTACCCTCCACTACAAACCCCAAGAGTTCATTGTGGCTCACACCTAATAAATTCATCTTCTCAACAAAGCCGATTACTCATTTACTGAGTGATCTTTTAGGTCAGCTGACAACAGGTAGACTGAATAACGTTAAAACCTAGTCCGGACCGCGGCGAAACAGGTACAGACTATGTGCTTTGCTGAAATGTCATTGTGAAGAATAGTCTTTGTACATCTGATACATTTTCTTCAATCCAATAACAACAATGTCGGCAGTCAGTTTGCGATCACCAGCTAGGTAAGTAACACGAAAATGTGGCTTGGAAGGTAGGCCTCTTGTGACGCATTTCAAACAGATGACTTCCTATAGGCTATAGGGAACTAATGCACCCACCAACTAGAATATGCTCTACAGATCCTCTCATCAGGTAACCTGCAGCTATCCAGGTCGGAACAATGACATGCTGGAGAGATACCAGTTGATTGGTCAATATTGAGATTGTCTAATGTTCAAGATGAAAGATTTCCATAATGAAATGACCGCAGCATCCTTCACATATGAGGGAATCTGTAAGTCAACTATACATGACGATACATCAGATTCAATCATGCATGACTTTTTTGTCTGTAGTTTGATTTCAGCGTAAGCGTTTGCTGACCTGTGCAGGGGGAGTTTATTTCGTCTCCTGATACATATTCGGCTTCTGCTGCTCATGAATTTGGTGCAAGAAAGTTTCATTAGATATCCTGCTCTTGAGGAAGCGAATAAATCGCCTCCTGGCTGCAATACCTAGCCTCCTAGATTTGTAAACAGGATCAGGACTTGGATAACTTGGAACTGATGTTACAGGGAGGGCAGTTAGCATCGTGTAGTGAACGTTCATCTCTTCTGTAGATTCTGGGTCGGATTCTTTGGTTACTTCAGCGTCCATAAAGGCTCCCACGAATAACTAGGGTTTCTAGGTTAGGGGCGCCTTGTATTGATGAACTCAGAGTCATCATTTTTCCGGAAGGATAAAGCAATCGGGAACACATTCGGTTAGGAAATAACAGCATCACGAGTTATTCTGTTATTCCCATATCCAAAGGAATATGGAATAATGGAATATATTCCTTGTAAAAAATCTGGGTGTTCATAGGATTAGAATCTACTTGGTTGTCATTACCCCAAACCTTAATTGTCTGCAGATTTTTGTTGAAATAAAATACTTCTTGTTGTCGCCGAATACGTGCATTGGCCGCTGATGGGAATCCAAATGGTAAAAATATTAAATGTGAATCCTTGGGAACCACCTGTGTTGTTGGTAACCGAGAGAGAACCAATGATGGCTACTTGTAAGGAACGTTTTGGAGAGCCACAAACAGAAACGATCTAACGAACATCAAAGTTCAATTAATGAACCTTCTATTCAGACACGGTCAAAGGCTTTGGAAATGTAGAGCGCAGCAGCCCGAGGCTCCTTGTTTCTTGATTTCCCTATTCCAAATGTATGTACCTCAATATGTTACATTATAACAGTTTATTTCAGCAGATTTTTGTTTCGTGAAACGCTTAAGGTGTTGAAGCATTTTATAAATGTGAAAATGTGTTAACAACTTTCTATGTGGTTTTCAATATCACGCATAAGTAAAGCAACGGGTGTATAGTAATTTGGAAAGTTTTTCTTTTTAGGTATAGCTTGAAGTCAAGGGGTCTTATGACAAGAAGGAAACCCCCTTTTTGTAAGACAAATTTTAGAACCTACAGAACACTGGTTCAGTGGCACATTTTTCAAGTACGATAACAGGTACTTTGTCAGAAGGGAGATTTAATCAAAACAAATAAAAAAATGAAAATAAAATGAATGAACCTAGAAACAATACCAGAATAGTTACAGTAAGCCTTTTTATGCAAGTTCAATACATTTTCATATAATGTTTCAAATATGTTTTTTCCGTTAACCAGCTATCGCACCCCTACGAATGACAACCCTCAGAAGTCGAAACTTGTGCGAGCTAAGAACTAACGAGGTCTTACCTTTTAAGGTGTGGTTCCAAGTCATATTTTCATATAACATGGGCGACATGAGATCGAATATCGCACCCTGTCACTCATAAAGCTCCTCTGTGTTCAACTCTTGTACCTCTTATTTTCAGTTTCTGTTTGAAGATCACATAAAAATTTACTTACTTTTATGTTTAATCGCAAATGACGGAAAATTCACACCTATCCCTATCTTACCGTCGAACCTAAACTTTTGAGTTCACTTCCGACCAATCTCCGAATGAAAGATGTGGTTTACAACCTAACTGAATGTCAATGACCAGCTGATATGGTTTTTTTTTGGATTGAAGATCCTAGAATGAAATAAGTCCACAAACTGACACAAATTAATGAAGAAAAGAAAATTGAAATGTTCTATGTTTTTACCACTTTTATTTGTAAGTAACGTTACTGCAGTTTCGTCCTATAAGGACATTTTCAAAGTTATACAATAAACTGTTTGTATAAGTATTGAATAAGTTTGAAAATGTCCATATAGGACGAAACTGCGGTAACGTTAGTTAAAAATAAAAGTGGTAAAAAACATAGAAAGTTTCAATTCTCTTTTCTTCAATATGATTTCCTACCACGTAGTAACGGCTACATCCATCAATTTATTGACACAAAGTAATAAAATCTGAACGATGTGGCTATTGCTCCGAGCAACATAATGTTTTAGTGCGACACCAACAGTGGAAGCTCTAAAATACGAGTTTGTGTCAATTTCATAAAATTCGTTATCACTTCAATTATTCTGTAAAAACTTTCAGCTCCGATATTTGTCAATTTAAATATTCCTCTCTACGGAATATTAGACAGAACTATTCCCAATTTCAGGTTGAAGGTTCAGTAAAAAAAATTATAACCGTAGAAATTGTATCAATAAACAACATATAACAATGTCAAACGGTCTGAAAATCAATCAGATTGCACTCACGTTTGTTCGGCTATCTCTCTTCGATGTACTATGTGCAAGTCATCATCCATATGATTCGTAGATTAAACGCAAACGTTAACTGTTTAGTCTTTGTTTTTACTTGCAGTATAAGAGGATGCCATAGAAAAGTATGTGTTTTATTGTGTATTTTATTGATATTGCATGTGCATTCTTTTATCGTCCCAACTGTATTTCACTCACTCATTGGTATACATTATTTCTTTAATTTTGCATCTTCGTGCTATAATGAGAACTAAGTTTTAAATATTGCTCAGGATGGATTTTTTCGGTTTTCATGTTGTTTTTGATGTTCCACTTGGTTACCTTTTTTGAATAAACAGTTTGCAAGGTTCCTCCTTCACAATTAATTTGTAAAAATGTAGCGATTTGTTCATCTTTATTTTCACAGCTATTTTGAAAGATAATTTTTTGCACTGCTTCAAAGGCTATGAATATTTTTTTTTCGAAATCCTCTACACATTTTCTTTTTTTTTTTGTTAATTTGCTCCGATTCGATACTTATATATTTTATGCCATTTGGCTCTTTTTCTTCTTCGAGTTTTAAAATCTCTTATCACTTGACGACTCCCATTATAGTTACAAAGTACAAAAGGAACTCGTTTACTTTTCTTTGAACTTCAAAGAGTTTTATCGTCGGGTCCAATTCAGTTTCAACTCATTTTACACATGGGTACTTGATGTTCAAAACGCCTTCTCTAATCATACGAATAGATGTAAGGAAGACAGCTGTACGAGGTGAGTTTTCTATAATGGTTATCTTCCATATTGTCTTATATGTTTACCACCTGTGGTGCCTCTTCGAATGGCAACCTACAGCAGTCGGGACTTGTGCTAAGGATAATTGAGGTCCTACCGTTTAACTTCTGATTCTTACCACACTACTTTTCACATCTTCTATTTTTATAAGTATCTGTTATAGTGTTGTCTAAAATATAGCGTGATAAAATCAGCAAGTAGATACTCGACAGGAATTATGGTCAATTATTTTCCAACCTCTAGCCAAAAACCTTTTCAGTACTAGGATCAGGATGGGAAAACCGGAAACCGTGAGAGATACAAAAGCAATCAAATAGAAAAAAGTGGCTTTTAGGTCTCATTTAAATATTTTTTTGAAATTCAATAAATTCCGGTTAGTTTCGGAGGTATTCAACAGAAACCGAAATTTGTCAATTTTGTTTTATTTGTTATTTTCTGGCGTTATTCAAGAAGTTATTGAGAAACAAAAAATACATTCAATTTGCAAACTGTATCAGATGACGATTACAGATTTGTAATCCGACGTTTCGTTTTTTTATATGGACCGGGAAAAAGAATTACCCAGTATAAATTATATTTTGGCGATAACATCACCGATGTATCACCATAATCGTTAAAATAAAAACGTCATTCAAATAAGCTCTAAAATGAGTAACTTTTTCTGAATTTCTGAAAATACTTAACCTGTACTTTCATGTACCTAAAGGGTAATCTCCTTTCCTAGAAAGGAAATTATATTTTGTTTGTTATTTTTTATCCTGTTTGTATATGTATTCAATATTCTTTTGAATAAAACTTTATTTATGGTTGATAACAACTGACGAGTCTATTAGTGGGCGTTCTTGATACGAAAATGGTGTAGGTGGCTGATAGTAATTATTTGGGTTTATAAAAGAATAATTCCTGTGTTGGATTAAGGAGTTGATTATTATTTGGTATACACACAATCAGTAAAACTAAACTGACGAATCTTTTTGAGAATAATACTCGATTTGTTTTCTCGAGATCTCATTATTTCATTCGGATACTTCTCTTTTGTAAGGATATTTTGTCATTGGCAACAATGTACGCTTCCGCCAGCAGCTTCCTCATTCTCCTTTCTAAACCCTCGCTGTTGATGTGCTTTTATCGCATGCGCGTTGACAATTCATCGTCTGTAATATCGATTGTATTACGGGAAGAGCTACGCCAAAGTCCCGGTTTTGCACCAATGAAATTGCAGGGAAGTAAACGTCGATACATTTTTCTGACGCACGTGAAAATCTGGATTTTCGTACCCTGGGCCGTTTCGATGCTTTCAAGTCGACCACGTTTGTGGGAAGATTTCCAGAATATCCCTAATACCTCATTGGTGAATGTTTCCATATTTAGATACACTTGGCAATGAATTGATATGTTTCACCAACTTATAATGACTCTTGCAGTACCTAGGAAAGGCATGAAATCATTATCGGTGTATGATTTCAATCAAGCTCTCTCCAAACGAGTAACCCTAAGAAATCTTCAGGAGACTTGTGAGAGCGGGAAAAGTGAGCATCATTCATTTCGACATGTCATCACAATTTAGAAAACTTGAATTTGTTGATTCGATTATACAAATCCGATTCAAATGAACTGTTAGTTGCAACTATTTCCATTAGGAAATTTCCGAGGTAGTCGATCAAAGGGGGAGTTCAAAGTTGAAGAATTTATCAGAAATAAAACTTTGAGTAACTTTCCATGTACTCCTCAATAAACAGATTGAAATTCCGAAGTAGACTTCAAATGCTCTTTTGTATTTATTATCGGTGACGAGTTTACACCAAAAGATCAATTGTAGATTTCTAGTCAACACACAGACATTCATTCTATTGATATCCAGTTAACAACCAGTCTGGGTGGAAATATTGCTATGTGCGTGCAATCGATACAGCCAACAACCCCCGGAAAATTGAAATCTTCGAAAAATCTAGAAAGCATCATAAGTAATGAGTTTTCATTCAGATATGTGGAGGTTGAGTTGAAACTGAATATCTGTTTATATACCCAGTTTCTAGAAATGTATATACTTTTGTAGGTATTTACCGTAATCGTTTTCTATTTGGTTCTTCCATATTTCTTGGGAAAGTCACCCATCTGTCAAAAATTGCTGGCTAATAAGTGCAACACTTACTTCCTCAATATATCGAGAGACAGAAGATTGTGAAACCGATACAAAAATTCCTCTCCCGATGTCCATTTGATAACTTCCTGTTGAGAAGAAGCGTAACGCGACCAATACCTGATGAATACATTCTTTAAAAACATTTTTCATTAAATTTATATCAATCTTACCCTGGTAGTAACGCTCATGTCAGTATGTCGTCGTTGTGGTCGCATAAACGGAGATACCATATCAATTAAATACCTACATAGCTCCTTGGTCATTCTAAAGGTTTGCAAAAACTGATGCTCACTCAAAACATCAAAAGGATCAATACTATCAAACCGATTAGGTTGATGTATTGGTTCCTCTGCTATTTCCAGGTTCTCTAAATTTGCTATATACTGCAGTTTATCCATTTTAAATAAATTTATCAACTAGGTACAACTCAACCAATACGACAAATTTCAACCGCTAAATATAAACTTTCTGTACCACTATACCTACCCTCAGAATTCTGTGACCTAACCTCTCCAAATTCGTTGGCAAATCGTTTGCGAACTACAAAGTTCGCTCGCAGTAAATTGAGAGCGATTGCAGATTGTGCGAAGGGTCAAGAATACCATTACTCTAGGATCATTCGCAATATTCAAACTTGCGAAGGACCTTGAAAGTTGCGAACGGTCAAGAATAGCGCCCCTGTTCATTACAGATAAATCTCATAAACGTCCAATGGAAATTTACAACCATAAGGTAAATGAAATAATTATCCATATTTCTGCGTTAGTAAAAGAAATGATATCTATAAAAAACACTTCAGGAAACTGTCTTATTTTCTACATATATCTCATGGATATTTATAGGATATCTGCTGAAGAATTTCCATTCGACTGAGGGATGAATGTCAATTTCATGTTCATCTATATCTTATGGATATTCATTATATATTCAGGAATATTCAACCTGTTGTGGATACGTCCGGTTTTGTCAATTAGTTAAACTAGTTCAATATTTCATGGCGTTTGATACTTTATTCAGAAGTTTTACAAACTGTTTCGTTTCTTTTTTTCTTCAACTATAGAACTTGTGTGTTTATTCTTTCTTGCAGCTCTTATGTGTGGTAGTTATAACATTAATCTGATAAAATCTCATGAAGGGCCAAGATGATTGAACTTTGTTGAATACAAAATATCACAATGATAACAGAAAATTGTATGGTTTGCTATTTTATTAAAGTGAATGATTCCAAACTAATCATTGTTTATTCAAAAGTATTAAAGACCACTAAAATGTAAACCATGTTTGAATTTGAAATGTTTTCCATATATATAGCGTCTAGTTATCCTATATCCTATGTTTAGCCAAACATTGTGAATGAACTCCAAAAATTTGTACGTTTCTTTTTTTGGTGTTGGATACTTCTTTTGGCAGTAGGGCTTACGTTCCCTCGAAGTATTTTTATTGGTCATTAATTAATGCCCTTAATAAATAATGAGATGCAGACAAAAATAATTAGGTCAGACTCTCAAACTCAAAAATATTTTTTCTCATCATATTTATCTTCAGCCCATCAGCACTTACCCACGTAGTCCTTGATACAACTCAACATAATAGAAAACGATATACAGGTATTTCTGTAACAGTAGTTGCAAAAACTTTCTAATGAATGCACTTGCCGTATCTCAAAATTTACAACGATTCTTCCTGAGATTCATTATAGGGGACAAATTGTTCGAAAATAAGAGAAGACGGAAAGAAACCTTCTCTAGAACGCCATCAATGATTTCCTACAGCGCCCTAGTGCCAATCAACCGAAAATTGGAACTCATGAAGCATTCCTAATGAAATTCTCCCAATGAAGGTATAAGCACTCCAGTATAAATTGATATACTTCGCTTTCGGAGGAACCAAGCTAGCTAAGTCACTCAAAATTTTCCGTGGAAGTATCTATGAAAGAGAAACAAGTCTCCAACCTTCCTTCGATTTTTGTCTCTTGTCTGGCAGATGGCTCTTTTTTTTGTGTAGAATTCAAAAACCTTAGCAACCTGAGCCTGAGTGTCTATATGGGAAGTTCCATTACCTCCTCTAGATGCATACCGATATTTAAAATTGTTTGTACAAAAATATGTTATAACATAAGTAAATAAATAGTAGATCAGTAAATTTTGTTATACTCGGCATAGCCCTTTTGAAAATATCATGACACCCCTTAAAGATTTATGATTTTTTTTTAATGTGAAACCTTCATTTTTTGTAATGTTTTGATTTGTTTATTACATCACTTCTTAATTATTTGTTGTATTACTTTGTATTAGGTAAGTTTACAAAAAGTCATTATGATATATCGCAGACTAAAATGTTCCCACAAAAATGATCTCACTCAATTTACACAAGCGGACAAATTACTTTCAGTTTCAAGTTTATTAGATCCGGTCACAATATATGCTTTGGGGTGGTGTAAAATTATTAATTTTTTCATTGATGAGGAGTTGAAGTAGTTTCCTTATCCAGTTTTTCATATCATCTTTTCATTTCCAGATAATCTTAGGTTTTACGGTCTAACCAATTATTAATGTGTTCTTTATATCGAGTTTCAGATAATCCATGAATTTGACCATCCTATATATACAGCTGTTGTTTATTAAAAATATTATTAATCTGATTCGTCTTTTTTTTTCAGGTGTCGTATGCTAGACCAAGTTCCGAAGCTATAAAAGGAGCAAACTTGTATGTGTCTGGATTGCCGAAGAATATGACCCAACAAGACCTGGAAGCCCTTTTCAGTCCATTTGGTAGGATCATAACATCGCGTATTTTGTGTGACAACATTACTGGTAAGGATGAATGTTGTTCTCTCCCGGACTATCGCTTCAGTGAGTATATACTCGAAAGGAAATCACATTCGAGTGTATCATCACTAATCATGACCACGAACTTGGGTTAAGTTGTGTATTGTGCGATGCGTTCACCTGGAACCCTGTTTCATGTCTAATGAAAATTATCATTACCCTGTTAGTTATGTCCCGTTTCAACTTTGTTAAAAAAAATTTGTAATTTCTATTGAATTGAAAAGGTATTTTTTCAACAAGAAATTGGTAAATTTTTTGAAAAAAATGTTTTCATAATGTTTAATGGAAAATCTAAAATTATAAGATGGAGAGGTGCTTATGGTAATGACATTGCTATAAATGTTTACCAGGATTTTATGCAGATTATTTCATCACAAATTATAAACATTTGATAAAGTTTGAACAAAGATACTTTGCAGGTCAACTATTATTTTAAATATTCTTGCATATGGTTTGATCGCAAAGATGCATTTCAAACTTTTTCAAATTCTGTCCATGATTATGTATTTATTCAACCTAAAATGCACCAAAAATTTATTTGTAACTGTTTCCAAGCCTGACGTTTCGTCTATTACTGCGGTGGGCATTATCAAAGGTGATGAGGTAACGGACGCAGTGTTCTCGTTTTCCTCTCAGCATATTCTATCTACTTCGTCCACTGTCTGTGTTTCTGGTTTTATTCTATCAGTTGTGGGCGTGCCTTCATTCATATTACCTGCGTTGAAAAATTCAATTTGTGTGCTGTTTAGGGCAGATAGCCAGATTTTAAATTATGTTCATACCTTATTTCTTTCCATTGAAATTATCTTTATGTGTTTGAATTTCTACTGCCTCCTTCTGTAATCTTGGATAGTAATTTTGTGTTTTGTCCAATACCTGTATATCATTGAACTAAATAACTTGTGTGCCTTCTTTGAGTACAGGTTCGACTACAGCTGATTTGTCGGTCTGTCTGAGGCGACAATTTCTGTTATGTTCATAGAGCCGGGTAATTTATCGTTTTTTCGTGGTTCCAATGTAGACTGACTCTCAGTTACAAGGGATCCGGTATATCCCTTGTGTTGCTGAAGGCTCTCTGGGGTCCTTGACCGATCTTGGTTTCTCTGTGATAGGTTTCGTTGACCTGAAAATTGGTTTATGTTATATTCCTGCAAAATTCTTGCAATCCTGTCCATAATGTTTTTAATGTAAGGGTAGGAAGCGTTACCATTGACGTGTCTGGCTGGAGTTACTTCGGTTTTCTCTCTTCTGGGTTGTATCGCTCGTTAGAATTTGCCTTCGTTATTCCCTTCGCTTTCCCTTTGAAAACATTTTTCAGGTGATTGAGTTCCTCGGAGAGATTTTCGGGTTCATCACCTCTCTTTTGTCTCCTGGGAATACTTCACCGATTAGCCGTATAGTGTCTTTGACCAGAACAAAGAGACCACGTCTCAATGAAATGAAAACTTTTCAATGAAATGAGTCTTCAATGAATGATCGTTCTTCCTGTGACTAGGGTATTTGGACAGTTCATAAGTTGGTGAACCTTTTGCATTTATTATTGGTCTTAGTGATACATTCTGTTTATGAATTTTTGGTAAGCCATATAGACATGTTGGCAGGGCTTCACATTTTTGAAGGACCTTGTTTCATCATCAAGATTTGATGACCGGAAAAGTTTATTTGTTCTTCTCACTTACTTCTCACTACATTAAAATAATTTTCTGCAATTTTACTGTGTAAAATATCTCAAACTAGAGTGTAGTGTGTTATTTTTCTCATCTAGTTGACTTTCATTTGTCAAAATCAAGAGAGTGAGTAATATTAAAAAATGTGAAAGTATGAAGTGTCCAATTTGATAGAAATAAGAAAAAAGCGCTTGTTGTGTTTGTATTCATTTATTAATTTAAAAGTATTGACAGTTTGAAGAAACAGCTCTTCTATATCAACATATAACAAGACAAATTCAATTCATGTGTTCTGTGTTATAGGAAATATTTACTTCTCTTTGAAACCACATATCATGTCGAGATATTAGCTAGGAAAACAGTTATTTTGAGGTAACTACTTTAGAAATTCAGCACCAGTCATATATTTTACGTTGTAACTGAACTGCAAACTTTCAAGTAACAGTCTCGTTTTGTAACATATCTGAAAAAAAATACTATTTCTTTAGCTAATACCACGAGATACTTGATCGATGTTTCTAGTAGCACACCTTGAGTGCACCTGATGTGGTTGATTACCAGTTTTTGTTTGATGTGGTGGAGCAATGATCCACAAACAGGGAGGGTTCTTCCTCCTGATATGGGATGTGCAGAGAAGACGCAAAGGTTACAGGGCTTCGCATGATACAGAAAAAACCTCCATAACAAGGTCGTAGTCTATCATTGAAGGTAGTTGAGCCGATACTATTGGAAACTTTTCAAGTTTTTCAATATTTCCAAGATGTCGGGCCAAGCACCTAAACATCTAATGCCACAGTCACAGTAACATACATACAAAATACATCAACATACTTGCAGTTTGTTTATTGATTATATATCAAATCAGTAAATATTTAGTTTTTATTATTTTTATTGGATGTAGTAGCTTTGATTTCATTATGATATAATTTTTGATCAGAGTTACTGTTGAAATTTGGCTTTCAATATTTAGCGGTAGTGATTCCTGGCTCAAACCCAGGCGCTGCCTATTCACTAGTTCATTTTGTCTTACTGTACCTATATTTTGCGTTTTTTTCTTCTCTTCCCTAGTACGTCAATTTGTCTCGGGGGCCGGAGAAAATTTGCCTGGTACGTACCTATCTCTCTACCATAACACCCAAAAACACCACCCACAACCACCAATCCACCTCTTTGGTTGTTCTGTTACGGGTCGCGACATCAATTCAGCTAGATAAGTCATTAAAAATGTTACCGACTCCTTCCAAATTTTTTCACTTGTTAAAGACCAGCTGGTGTTAAAGCTGATAATATTAATAAATGAGCTATACGATGCACCCATCCCCCTAATAAAATGACGAACACTTGTTCAAATTTGAGTTTGCAGTTATTTTCTTATTTAACTTAACCTACCTGAGTTATACAGCTTCAGTTGAGAATTTTTTTTTGCATCGTGGCATGTTGGTTATGTTTATTTTATTTCGTTTCGTTTAGTTTTTTACTCAAAAGAGCAGAGCAATCACACCGACACACACTCACATACACCACTTTATTTGAGAAAAAAACGATATACTGCTTTGAGTCTTTCATGTATATCTTTTTTTTCTTAGGTCATCGAGACACCTTACATGAAGGCTTTCAGGAATGTGTCTCAGTTTCTAATTGAGGTCACTTTTATGCATGAATTCACCAGCCTTTAGAATTTCCCGAAAGCCTTGTGTTTGGTGCAAGGAACATCAACATCTATTCAAAATCTCAAATTCCAGTGAGTTTTGAAATTGAGTTGGTTGTTCCAAGAAGGGACGTCAGTTGACGATGAGTATGTTTTGTGTAGGTCTATCAAAAGGTGTAGGATTTATCAGATTTGACCAGCGCTTGGAAGCAGAGAGAGCTATCCAAGAATTGAACGGGACCATTCCCAAGGGGTCTACCGAACCTATTACTGTAAAGTTCGCAAATAATCCAAGTAACAACAACAAAGCCATTCCTCCTTTGGCAGCTTATCTAACTCCACAAGCTACCAGACGATTCGCTGGCCCAATCCATCATCCTACGGGACGATTCAGGTGAGCTTGAAATAATAAAAGGTAGAGTTGAAATCTTAGGCAAAGAATGAATCCAACAATGGTATTTTTTCCACGCGTTAGAAATGTAACACTCGTTTTGATGCGCGTTATTCCAAATAATCCCAACATATATTATCTTGGATGGTAAGCATGTCAAGCAGAGCTTTACAGGTTTGATGTGTAGTAAAAGTTTTATTATTGGATTGATCAATTAATGCCTTCCGAGTGAGGATTCAGGTAAAAACATGGTAAACATAAATAATAACTATTTCTGCCTTGATACGGTGTACATTCTCCCAAACAAAGTTTATATTGTTATAATTATTTTGTTTAAAGGTAGATATTCATATCTTCACGCAATATATCTATATAGAACTGAAGTTTGAGACTTTCCTCGGAAGTCAAATGAGAACTGTGGCTATCCGGGCTAGCTATCTGTAGTCCACTGGAGATATTGGCCACAAACTTTTTCACATAACTGCAATGGGCATCCTCAAAGGTGATCAGCAGCAAAACGATGCGACTTCCTAATTGGTAGACTCGATAATTAGACATTCAGAAGTGTTGTTCCTATCACTCTCCATCTATGATAAATATCACCGACACACTGTAATGAATCTGCCAACTAGGAGATTGCAACACATTGCGGCCTGCTACCGCTAAAGATACCCTTTGCAGTTATGGTCGAAACATTCGGAGCCAATTTCTCCATTGGACCACAGCTACCTAGTGTGGATAACCACAGTTCCTATATAATAGAATTTGATCCTTTGTACCCTCAGTACTATAGTATTCTTCACGATAATTCGTTTCGACTTTGGTGAAAGAAGTTTCAGTTCACTTTCGAATTTCTCTTTGAAAAATCGTGACAATCATAATAATAAAAATAATGTGACAGGATAAGTACAAAAATAAAACATCACAAATATACGAATGCATGAAATGTCAGTGTTTTGAATGCGAAAGAAGTTTTTTCTTTGTTGAGTTATAAATAGTTAGCTGAAAATCATGAACTCGGTCTGTTGAGCATTTCACTACAATTTTCTATGAAAACATAATTTTCAAGAGATACAATTACTGAAATATTATCAATGTATATTCAAAAAGAAATGATGATTGGGTCTTGTGTTTAATGTTGTTGCGCATATTCTATGCATGTACACATTATTAATGATTGTTTAGAAAAGTATCTATCAACTTCAAAACTCTGCCCTGCTGACATTCATTTTTCAAATTTGTAAGCAATTTATGATAATCGACACAGTACAAAGCACTCTTCAGTATATTATATCTTCTCTGAGTAATACTTATAAACCTGTTTAACAGGCAGTAAATCATAATGAATTAACTTGAAATGTACTATACATCATTTCAATATGCTTTTTGCATTTCAACTTCTCCATCTCCATACAAAAATATGTGAGTTCAAAATAAACTAATTTCAAAGATGTGTACATCATGCATATACATTTCTTTTAGATACAAACAGGAAGAAAAAGTCCTTCCGAAAGAACTACTCACACATGAACATTGAATTACATAAAAAAGTAGTTCTTTCCAAACAACTACTTTCATATGAACATTAAATTACACGAAAATAACTTTTTCTCATTCAATTTGTAACTTTCAAAGGAATAGTATACAACGTAATGTATGAGAAAGCATTGATATAAAAATTGACTTACTTAGAAATCTATCATCTTTAAGGTGTACTTCTCGAAATTACTGTGGCTGGGATAAACCCAAATAACCATTTTCATGTTTATTATGTATTGTAATCATGACATGAATAGATTTGTGTCTTTTGTAAACATAAAATCATTATCTTGTGTGAGAGTGTGTGTTTACTAGACCGGACCTGACACGATAGGACCAGACCCGACACGATTCTCTTCAAAAGTTGAAAAAGGTGCTGATGAGGCGTTGATGACCCAAAACTTATCAATAGTGTCCGACCGAAAGTTCGGTTTCGGTTGAGTTTCGGCAAAAAAACGGGTTTCGGTTTAGTTTCGGTTTCGGCGGCAAATCTACCAAAACTACGACCGAAACCGAAACTGCATTCGGGAGTTCGGCGCGTTGAATTTTATACAAGAGAGGAAGACATTTTACGGGTCCACGTGCCTAATCATGTCCTGACTTGTGACTTACTTTGTAATATACTTTGTTTATTACATGAATATCAAGTACCCGAGAAAGTTTTAGGCTTTTTACTACTTCATCTTGATACAAAAAAATGTGGGAATCTTCCTAAGAAAGGAAGAAAGTAATCAATTTTGAAATAAGTAACTGTATACATGGATGTGTAGATCATGTAAAGAAGTAACTTTCAGACACAAACTGGAAGAAAAATCCCCTTCGAACCTGCTGGGCATAATGGGGTGGTGCACCGTCTTGTTTAAAATGGATAAATTTCTTGACATCTTGGATCCTGTTCAATTATTTCAACTATACGAGGTTGTATTGCCTCTTCAAGAAGTTGTAAATAAGAATCACCGGTTAAATTTCCATCAATGAAAAATGTACCTATAATATGATTGCCTAATATTCCGGCCCTGTCATTCAACTTTTGGGGATGTTGGGTATGTATTTCTGCGTATTGTCTTCGGTTTTCATCCGACCAATAACGGCAATTGTGACGGTTCACGCAACCATTTAAATAAAATGAGCTTTCATCTTACTTTTTATATTCAAAAACGGCTCTGTTAAGTTTTCGTTGTTACACACTGTAATAACGTTTTCTTTATTTTTCCCTCAAAACATAATCCTTGTAAGGAAGTTTTGGTTTCGGCCAAAACTGAGAACGTTGCCGAAATTCGGTTTCGGTCGTAAAAACCAGTTTCGGTCGGACACTACTTGTCAATGCTATTTCATATATTAAGATTATAACGTTCTTGTGAATGATGTTTGTTTCGATTTGATTGAAGTACAATTGACTTTCAGGTAATTCAATGTTCATGTGAAAGTTAGTTGTTTCTATTGGACTTTTTCCTCCAATTTGTATCTAAGAAACTTCTCATGAATGATCTACTACTGTGAAGAGTTGTTGAACTTATTGCTTTCTTTTTTCTTCGAAAGTTTTCCACATTCCTGTGTAAAGATGGAGAAGTAGAAAAACAAAAAGCTGTTTAGAACAAGTACAAGTTATTGATACAAAACTCGTGTTACTTTGTTTCCTTTTATTCTAATCCCCAACTTTTCATCTTTGAAAACTTGAGTAATAATAACGTTCAATATAAAAAAAAAATAAACAAATATCTGAACTCACATCGAGATGATCTTCACAGAAATAAGTTTTTTGCGTTATGCATTTACCAATGTTGGGAACATGTGAGGTCACAGCAGTCTCGTAACAGTATTGCCATTTTGGAGCGAAATTTGAAAAGGAATTTAAAATACATGATTTTTTTTGTAGTTGCATGAAATAGTTTTAAATATTTTGAATCTTTAACATTAAAAAACATTGAATGCTTCAAGCAAAAAATTTTATATCGTGCTTTTTACAAAGTGATAGAATGTTTTGAATCTGAATTTTGTTTGAATGTATATTGTGTTGCATAATGTAAGTTGAGTTATATTTTACCCATTACCTACACTTTTCTGCTAGGTTTTGTTAAATTTGTATCATGTCGATATGTTGAATTGCAGTTTTTGTAACAAAACTAAGGGTTTTTTTTGGGATTGTACTTTATCTACTGGTTTCTTATATATCTGAAATATGGTATCGTATATTTAGAGCGGTGTGTTATTTTAGGTATTCTCCGCTGGCCGGAGACCTGCTGGCCAACTCAATGCTGCCTGGCAACGCAATGAACGGGTCTGGCTGGTGCATCTTCGTGTATAATCTTGCTCCGGAAACCGAAGAGAATGTTCTCTGGCAACTATTCGGCCCCTTTGGAGCTGTCCAAAGCGTTAAAGTGATACGTGACCTGCAAACCAACAAATGCAAGGGCTTTGGTTTTGTTACAATGACCAATTATGATGAAGCTGTCGTTGCCATACAGTCCCTCAATGGCTACACGTTGGGCAACCGTGTCTTGCAGGTCAGCTTTAAAACGAACAAAAGCAAAACTACCTAGAGCGAAGAGAATTCTTAGACACCAGCGGGTTCGTTGCATTTTGCGCCAAGACCGTTTGTATTATTTATTATTTATTGTTCTCTGTGGTACTGTTGCTGCAAGTTATTAGGTAAATTAAGGCGGTCGGTTTGGAATGCAGCGAGCTCGGGGTGTGCTGTGCCCGCCAAAAGCGCACCTCCCCTAATTTAATATTCTAGTACTTAAAAATACGAAGCTAGTCAGTCAGAAGTGCAACGGCGTTTCCTAAAGCAAACATTACGGTCTGATGTTTTTTGTATCAGTCATTACATAATTGTGCCATCGCCTTTATATGTTGAGACAGCATCCAAAGATTCATAGCTAAACTATACATATATATTTACATATAGTATATAATTATTCCTATTTCAAATCATGTCTTAAGTAGATTAATTTATGTATTTATATGTAGTGTTTTCATGTATTCTTCATTGAACAGACTAGTCGAATTGCAACGGACATAAGAAAGAATGGAGTCGTAGACTACGTTACGGTGTGTTCATTTAGCATTGTTGCATATTTGTGTTGAAGGATGCTGGCGGTACGGTGAGGGTATCATTTTGCTTTGTGATGGCGTAGTTGATTACATAGATAAACGCTGTATGACTGATTGTAACCTAACAGATTATATCCATGGTGACCAACACCGATCGCCAGGTCCGGTTATTCTTATTTGTGTGTTGTGTTTTGTTCACCAGATTTTTTCTAATATTCTCAGCTTTTTCTCCAATTTTAGTGGTTTTGCTCAAAATGCCCTCAGGCCACAACTGTTTTAATTTCTTATTATTTCACTTTTGTTTTCTTTTTTTTTCAGATTTCACCATTCTTAAACAGTTGAGAGAATTAGTTTACACAAAATCATTAGTATGATCCGTTACGTTCACCACTACTTATTTATTTTGGTTTTTGTGAAAAGGAATTAAAGTTTATTTATGATTTTAATTTATTTTTCATTTCTTTTTTTTTGTTATTTTCCCTATTGTTGTGTCTTGCAGTGTGTTTGCTGACATTAACCCCAGCAAATCAGAACTTACGCTATGCACAAGTGGTGTCTGCCGGCAAGCCAGAGGGTGTGGTAGTACATGAGCATACGAGATCATTTCAACCACCCCACAGACTAACCAGCCACTTCCTAAAATCATTTTATTTTTTATAAACACTCGTACCTTGAGATCTGAAATAGACGAGTATATGGATAGATATTTTTAGGGTACGTGTGGCAGACTGACTGTATTTATGAAATTAACGGGACATTGAATTTTGTCTTGAATTTGTCATCAGCTGAAAATAAAAATTACTAGCGAAACGCACACGCCCGCCCGGCAGCGCATGAAATGAATTGTACATAGAAATTTTAAAGGTGATCCAAATAGGCAAATAAGTACAACTAAATAAGTCAAGTCTCTAATAGCTTTAACGGTGGCGGGGATATCTTGTGTGGAATTGTGCTTGACTTGACGATAGCCCGCCGTCACCCTCAACAATATTTAAGAGCCGATTTATCATTACTATGATGCTTCATTTTTCTAATTAAAATGGCAACATGCCGATGTGAACCTTTATGATACACTTTCACCTGTCTATATTATGTCGCTAAGAGTTTGTGATGAATGATGTTGAATTCAGTTTGGAGTTTTCTTTGGTTTGGTTCGGTTGTTGGGCATATATTGGTTATTTAATCAGTAAGGTGACTTGATCGGAGATATAGTAAAATCAAACCCAGACCAGGGTTACGGATTTGGATGATATTTATGTTATATATTTGATATTCGTGAAATGTATTTCCAATCTGAAAAATCAAACGTTGAGTAGATACAAAATTAATTGAAAGGTTGTAACATTTCACAAAACAAAATGTATAGACATTCTTTGACTGGGAAAAGTTATATGAAAAAACTATTTTTAGACCTGGGATGAGCCAATGAGAATGGGTCGTTCAACATTTCAGTTTAGCTTATTATTTTTTTGTGTATTAACAGATGATATATTGTAATTCTGAACTCTTACAAAGTAGTATGCTTTTATCTCTCTCAAAAAAGTGCTTCGAAGAGAACCAGACCTACTCCTAGTGTATTAGCGATATTTTACTTCTGGTTATGGATTGTGGGAGTAGTAAACAATTGAATGAGATTATCTGGTAATTGATAAATCGGCCCTTATTATGGGTAGGAATAGAATTCAGTTGAAGAAATGGCTTCAGGGTTTTCGTTACAAGAAATACAAAAACAACGTTTCTCGACAATCCCTCGGTAGATTGAATATTCTTAAAAAATCTCGGAAGTATACTTATAGTTCAACAAAACGTTCAAATACTGTCGCTAATGGAATATTGAATACTTTTAGGTTACTCTGTGACCATGCCTGAGAGTACTATAACCAGAATGACTGTACATATTTTGTGGATATAAACAAGTCGTTTAACATATAACTTTCATTATCATTGTATAACCGTTAGAAATATATCCTTCTTAAAGGATTTTTGATATATATTAAACATATTTCTAATATATTAGTTTTGATGTTTCAAATAGCTTCACTCACCAGTATTTAGGTGTAATAGATTCGGATATACCATATTACAGTTTTAATGCACATATACTGAGTGATATGTATCATATTCGTGTCAGATAGATATTTTTGATGTTGCTGTTATTTTAGAAAATTTGATCAGTGTGGCAAGGGACTTAATTACTTGTATTATAGGTGTTCTTACTAATTAAGATTTAATCTTATCCATTCAAACTATTTATCTGCCTGTTAATAGATTTCCAATAATATTAGGTAATCTATTTTGATGATGTTAGATGCGCCGGGATGTTGACGATTTGATTGTTGAATTTGAGTTGTGGGTTCTCCTGACATAGAACACTTGGCAAACAGCACACTTCAATCACTACCTCAAATATCGTTCTGATTCATTTTTCTAACTAAAATACTTTATTCGTTTTGTCATCAAAAACTAATCTCGATCCTTTATTTTCAAACTGGTGATCCAATTGGACATTTTCAGTTTGAATTTTCAGTTAAGTAAGGATCAGATTGTATTCAAGGAAATCACATTCTCAACTCTTAATAGTAAAAGTATATGCCTGTCACTATGGTGCTTCATAGACAATTCAAAAATAAAACTAAAGAATGAAAATGATGAATCTCTTATTGGACGATTGAAACCAGAGCCTTATCTAGTGTTGAATTTGTTTACGATTGTTTGTCGATTTTGAACAAATTATTAGAGATGACAAACTGATTAATCTCTTGTTGGTTGATTTTCACTTTTTGTTTTTCACCATTGTTTGGGTGCTCTGTATCAGGAAATAAAGAACCCTATTTTGAGAAAGTGAGTTATGAGAGCGCTCTTGGAGATTAAACATTGAAATCTTGTGTCCTAGTCTATTATGAATAAACTATTAGGCTTAAAAATTTTTTATTGTAGTCTTGATGAAACATAGAGATGAGAAAAGAGTTATACTTAGCTAGAAAAAAGTAAATGACATTCAAATCAACACTGAATATTCTAAACCCACAGATTAAAAACACTGTTTCCTTGTAGACAGTTATTATAAAAATGGGATATGAGCCAGCAAATTCAGCCAAATTGTACAAAGACCAAATATGTTATAATGCGTTTCAAAAACATTAGCGGTGTTTTGCATGGTTAGCAATCGAAGTTTTGTATTTCCTGTTATTGATTGTTAATGAAATGTTATTAATTTTTGCATCCCATGACGTCCGTTATCTACTATTCCAATAATATTTAAACTTCTGGTTTACTCTCAGTCTTCAAAAGTATTCTATGAATGTGACAAATGCTCAGCAGGTATTCCGAAATATAGTGAGGTACATTAGATAATTATCGTTAAAAAATTATAATTCTAACTGAACGTCTAGTGAATATTTTCACTGGACTTACTGATACTTAAAATCCGTGAATAATGATATTAACACATTATTTTGAGAATTTTCAGAAATTCACTAAACCTCAACACGTGCTTATGTAAAATGTTATAATAAAGTATGTCTAATGTGCTTACTTGATAATAGAGCGAAATAAGATATAATTCCGATTGTTAACACATCTGCAAAAGTGAATTTTTTAATAAATTTTCATCGTGGCAATACTTGAAAAATCCTTTGGTGAACATTACTGTTTCAATATCTCGAAGTAAAACCCTGAAGCATTTTTCTTTGAAATTCTTTCTTACCAACCAACACTTATATTCAGAAGTTACCAAAATCGAATCAGTAGATATTTCCGCTTGTGATTCCCTAAGAAAAAGCTGTGATCTTAAATTAATTTGAAGGTAAAATGTTCGATGTAGGTTAGATTTACTGAGGAAGTTGTAGCAAAGTGCCCGAGAGCAGCTAATATCCGTACAGCAAACATATTTCATAGATTTGTCCCCGCTTGTAATAACAAGCGCGACAAGAGCCTGAAATTCGTTGAAAACGAAGGCGCGAAAAAGTTTTTGGAAATTTTCATAACAGGAAACTAATCAAGTGGTATCGCATAGGTTTTGTGACATTTATGTTATGTTGGCTTCACTCCAGAATTACCTTTATGAGCAAATATTCTATCGTCAATCTATCAAAAAATGGTTTATCGAAAACCAGTTCTTTTAAATAAAAAATGTGCAATTTTGGAATAATATTTGATGACTTCGATTTATCCTGCAATTTGATTTTGAAACGAAGATGTTTAATATACATCAACTATGTGAGGAAGTTATGAGTTATGTTTATGAGCAATGTGAGGTTGAAAATACTAGGTAGACTCAAAATTATTTTTTTGATTCAGAAAGATTTACACATCCTATCATATCGAAAATGAATAATATTAATTTATCGGAAATCTCCAGTGTAGCCAATATTATTAGAATATCTGAAAACTACAAAAAAGCCTTGTGGTACCATTTTTCTCAACTCAAATTGAATTCAGATAGAAACAATTAATCTCTGAAAAAAAAACATTGCATTTCAAAAATATATTTTCCCTTTGCACAGCTGCAGATGAGGGAAATCAACCAGTGGTGTACAAGAATCTGCAATCTATTTCAGTGGCGTATTCTGACTCAATAAATGTACTGACTACGTCATGAGTTTCTTTATGGTTGGAACAAATTAGTTTCAGGAAGTTTCCTGATCGAAAATTTTCTAGGTCGTCCATCTGGCGGGAAAATACCCTATAACGCGCAATTGCGTTAGCCGTACGGGTCAAATATGTACAATCTTACAATTTTAAGTCAGTAATGGTATTCCGAGCACAAACTTTACTAGCGATATAGGTGATGTTATTGGTTACTCTGGCCTAAATCGAAACTCGTGTAGACTAAATCCATATACAGAACAACGATATATTTCAAATGATATTATATGTCTGTCAACAATGCTTATTTACCATTCTTAGCTTCTATTTGACTAGCGTTTGCCATATATATGTATGTATACATATATGTACATATATACACATATATATCAGCTTAACGTTCTCATTATTATTGATGGTTAATTAATTATTATCGATTATGTATCGCAATATTGCGTACATATCGTATATGTATCTACATAAGGTTATCTCTTTGTGTGTTGTGTAGATCTCTAGCGTAAGTGTAATATAGTACATTACATATTCCTATTGGTTATTTTCTCTATATGTGTAGCTGTTGTGTTGCCAGCGGGCGTCCTGGCGGCACATACAGGCGTCAAGGCGCCCGCTTCGGCCGAGTCGGTAAAACTGACTCGTCCTGGCTCTACTTGACGAAGTGGGGCTTATAGCTCAAACATTGTTGTGACGAAAAGCATTCCATTATTTAAAAAAAAACACGGATGATATATACATATATTATATATACTCATGCCTATATTCTATCTGTTTTGATAAAATTGTGGTTATTATTACAAATATCGGGTGCAAAAGTTATATGTACAGAGGTTATATATTAGGAAGTACAGTACCTCATAACTGTAATTCATGCAATAACTTAATATAAGAAAGTTCTAATTACAATATACTTTAGCTTTAGTAGTAATAAGATGCGAGGTTTGTAAGATCTCTTTTACCATAGGACGAGCGGTCGACTCGTCGGGGCGACTCGACTGATCGCCCGCCCCCCTCGTACCACGACCCGAACAAATCCGACCACCTTAATCGACTAGTGGAACCATAAATCTAATGCACGTGGCCAAACACTTTACAAGTGCACAACCGATCTTCTAGTTTGCACGCATATATCAGATATTTTTGTATTTTCTATTAAATTCCAAAGCACCTAAATCATTTTCACTCTGAAACCTAATTGTCTTTCGAGTCACTTCAAAATTAGATTAATAATTTTCAGGGACAATCAATTGATGTTTACTTGAATATTTGAAGTTGTGTCCGAAAACTCATTTCTGGAAATATCAAAACTTATTTGGACAATCAAGCAAACAAGTTACAAATTCGAACAAAGATAACGTAGTCAAAATTTTATGCGTATATTGTGTTAGATTTACGTTTCCTGTTGATGAATGTAGGCGACCCAATCGCCTTGGTGGTTATGGGGGGGAGGTGGATGACATATCAGCCGAAAACCACCACCGACTCAATGACTCCAATTACCCAGAGTCTCGACCGGTGAACCACGCAACCCCGCTGATTAGTCTTTAGCCAACCCCGATCCTGTGCTCTCTCACTATTCGAAAATTTTTCTCCGATGTACCTCTAGATATGCTAAAAGATTTTACACATGTTCGCTCCTGTTCCCAAAAGCCCGCTTTATAATTTCCGTTGATTGAAAGCAGAATGGCGAGCTTATGCTCGACTATTTTTGATACTGACTGAATATCTAAAGGTCATATCGGATCAGAGGAGAGAATTCACAAGATGGGACTTGGCAGTGACTAGATGGAACTGAACTGATTCACTCATTACCAATATATAATAATTATAAATACGTAATACGTTTGTATGCTAATAACAAGCGATACGTAGCCGTACAACATTGTTTCCTACGCTTAAAAGGAATGCATAGCATTCCAAACAAGCGAAGGTTGCAGTGGAACTCTGTGTTTCCAACTCTTTGGTTCCATTACGTTAGTATGATATATGCTTTATGTTAGTTATGTATTCAAGGAGTTACTTGTCTTTTCTTGCTTATTGTCCAGTGTCACATGCTGTATTTGTGTGTATTCTTGTCATTTGATGGTTATTTGTATCTTAATATATCTATTTATTGATTGTATCAGTACTGACATTAGTATTAGTTGAGACGTTTAGAGATTTGTGTAGTGTACGGGACCGTGAACGCAGAGCAGACGGTATTTCATTCGCTATGATTGAGTCTTCAACAGATGAATGATGTTTTGAGTTCGGTTCAGATTCGCATAATGGGTTTCTTTATGAGAAGGGCTGTGTAAAGCTGGGAACCAGGACGGATACGGATAGTACTTAGGAAAAACTAAGCTATAAGTACACTGGACACTAGCATATACCAAAAATGGATGCAACCACAATAATTTACGTTGTGAGTTGTATCAAAGTCAACTACATAATTCTACACACAAAGCAATTGTGTATTCCTGGCTAGAAGTCGGTGTAATGCAATATTTGTACTTTTCCATGTTGACAAAACTCAGTACAATAAAGTATAAAAGCTACATTTACATTGAGTTTTTTTCCAAACATCTATTTGTAATATAAATATGTATAAATAGATCTGATACATTTAAGTGTACTCATTTCTTCATCTTTCCCACTTTTCCTCCCTTCAGAGTTCCATAACATTGAAATTATATGAATGAAAGGTAAGTACCCATTTCTTTTGAGACACTAATCCGCTAAAGTAGTTTTTCAAAAAGATCTCATCTGGTAAGTATATTGAATTTGAGGTCCTAAACTACCAAAATCAGTTGAAAATGAAAAAATTACATAAAGTCTTGAAATATTAATATTACTGGAGTTTTTTCTTAGTTCATTCTTTAGGTAGCAAATTGGAGTTGAGTTGAAAAATGAATATTCTGGTTCATTATATTCACCAAATGAATAACATCCAGATACAAATTTGTTGTTTGATAATAATTTTTATGGGTAAGCACTTTTCCTACTTAAGAAGGCAAGGGAAAGATTAAACTATTCAACACGTATGGCGAATTTGTGATTCATATAAAAGTAAAGTAACTCACTCTCACAAAGAATGTAAACTTTCACAGCCCGATGTAACTTGTCTTGAGTTATTTTCCGGATTTGATGGTCTTGGCAGCAGTTTTTTATACCTGACGTTTTGTCTACTACTGCGAGACATTATCAAAGGCGATGAGGCAACAGACGAAGTGCTCGGGTTGTCGTCATGTCAGGTACTACCTTTAAAGTTGGAGTATCCGGGTTTGCACTATCGGTAGTAGGCGTGACTTCGTTTCTGTCGATCGAAATGAATAATCCTTTTTTACGAGAATAATTTAGGGCAAGTAGCCAGACTTATCGATAATAAATAATTCCCTCCTCTTTTCGATTGTTCTTGTGTTTTTGCCGCCCCTGACCAGTACGCCGGCCGACTTCTGAAACAAACACATGACATTACCGCGAAAGAATGCAGTCGGGAATCGCCGGTAAAATTCTAGGACCGAACCGACTACAGATTTCTAGAAAGGACCGTTACCGATATAAGCACGTCTTCCCGACCCAAGAGGGCAGTTCAGAAAGTGAATCGAGCGGCTAAAGAAATTCAAATAGTGGAAATAAATTAAGCGTTAGTTGCAAAGTGTTGTAATAAATAAATTAGTTTGTACAGTTAATTCATTGATTTGCGACAATATTGTAATGTTAACATTCTAATTTGATTCAGAATTTCAAACTTTGAATTAGGTATGTTTTGGAAACTTTAGATGCATTCATAGGGAGTGCTACAGGTCTTTCATGAAGGCATCACAAAGGAAGAAATGAATTGAAGCTAATCCAATTATTTCATTTTGAAAATGAACAAAAATGTACCAGAGAAATTAGGCAGGTAGGAATTTGTATTACCTAATGAATTACAGCATTTGCAAAATTTAGCAATACAAGGTGACTTTTCTCGCAATGAACTTTTCATTGAATCAAACATAGGTAATGCAGGGAATGAAACATTTATGCTAAACATGATTAGGATGAAAAAAATATCAACTACCAACCTCACCAATTATCGGTCGAAAAAGGGTGTATGTAGCTCCTCATACTCATTTTCTGCGTAATTTGACGAATCGTTGTTACTGGCAAAAGAAGAACCAGCTGATGAACTTGTATTGTGGAGTATGTTGGCTGTGTTGACCGGACTCTTTTGGCTTTAAATTGGATCCAGAGGCAAATTCATCAACTAGCTGTTGAACTTGATTTCTGAACCGCAATTTCGAATGCAGAGGTATGTTGCTGACATGTTGCAAAAGGCTTTAAAAAAAGGGCATCTTTATTGTCAGCAGCACTTTCACGTTCGTTCATGACTCGCTCCATCAGAGAAGTTTTTTTTGTCTCTGTTAAAAAAAAAATATGTTTTTCCGTTAATCAGCTGTCGCCCCCATACGAACGACAACTCTCAGAAGTTGAGAAACTTGTGCGAGCTAAGGACTAACGAGGTCTTACCTTTTAACGTGTGACTCCTAACACGGGGTTAACACTTGCTGATTGTATTGCATTTCTTAAAAACACTTTGGAAGCGAAAAAGAAACAATAATTCATTCCAGTACAAGCCGCACTCGTTCATTTCTCTCAACACTTTTTCTTGCTAGTCTGTCATGATAAAGCAAGAAACAGTGCACTATGGACGTACCCTAACGTCAAAACTTCACGTTCACTTGCGTACGTATTTACCTGTTTTGAAGTGAGAATAGTGTGTAGTTTAAAATGTCAAATAAACGGAAACACAAGACAGTATTTTATTTTTTATGATTTTTTTACATTCCAGTAATCCAAACATTCCAATAATCCGAAACCATCTGGTTTTTNAGATTGGTTCATAAGGTAAGTTAATGGTTTAATAATTGTTGGAATGATTTTCTTGAGAGTGATTATAGAGAGTTCATCATAGCCTGCAGATTTTTTATTTTTCATTTCAGACAGAGCGCTTAGTACCTCGTATTCCGTTAGAGGGTTGGATGAAAAAGGTAATATGGTACCAACCAATTTAGGGGTAGTACAGGGAAGGGATAAATTTTGTCCAAAGTGGTGGAATGCCGCATTTTCTGCTCCCATTGAAAAATTATTAGCAAATAATTCAGATACTGCAACAGGCTCCATTATATGTTCATTATCTTGTTGGAGAGAGATCGTTAGTTTCAACCCATTTTTATTTCTCCCGAGTTCATTGTTTATAATGTTCCACGTTTCTTTTATTTTGTTTTCGGACTCACCTATTTTTTTACTAAAGAACTCTTTTTTTGCCATGTTTATTTTCTGTTTATGCTCTATCAATTTTGTTTTATAGCTTTCGAGAAATGTTGGATCAGCTTCATGACAATTGGACAGAAGCCAAAATAGATTCCTCAAGTTCTTTCCTTCCTCAATGATTTCCGGAGATATCCAACATTTATAGTTCTTTTTGCCGCATGCTCTCTTTTTTGGGCATGATATATCAAAATACCATAGAATTGTATTGATGAAATAGTTGAAAGCATCATTTAACGTCATGAGGTAAATTAGAGTCCAGTCTTCACTTAGAAGCTTTGTTCGGAACTCCTCAATATTTTCATTTCGAGTCTGACGTCTCAAAACTGAAGAGGTATTATTAGGTTTTTCAGTAATATATATATATATATACCACGTCAAACCAATATTTAGGCCAACAGCCAACAGCTGAGGACCCCAGAGAACCTTTAGCAACTCCCGGGGTATACCGGATTCCTTGTAGCTACGGGTCGATCTACATTGGAACCACGTGCCCGTCTCTCTGAAAACATGAGAAATTAGAAAGGAAGAGGCAGTGAACATTATTAAAATCTGGCCACCTGTCCTTAATTGTACACAAACAAGGTCAGGTAATCCAATTAAGAGAAACCCCGCCACGTCCACCAACAATAATATAAAATCAGAGTCAAATACCAGCATTATAGTTTCTACGTTGGAAAAAATGGAAACAACAACTCGAACACCAACTCGTTCAATGCGACCGTTACCACATCGCTTTTGATAATGTCTACTGCAGAAGACACCCAATTTTCTATTCCATTTTTGCATTCTACAATGAGTTATTTATAAAGGATATTCATACCTAAACACATACCTGAATAATGCCACAGTGTATATATATATAGGACTAACGAGGTC